TGCTCAAGTGTATGTTGCTGAAATCGTCAGAGAAATAAGATCATACAGAAAATATAAAACAGCTGTACTTACGCATAGTGGTGGTTCGTTCCTCTAAAACAAAAAAAAGTAGGTGAAAACCCGTGACTCTGGACAGGGCTCTAAAGTACCTATGTAAGCAACCGTCGTGCTGCCTGTGACGAACATGTTCTGATGGCCACAGTCAGGGCCCACTTCGTCGGTGATGAACGGAAACAGACGATTGAGACTTTCGTTGGTCAGCAACACTCCCCTCCTGCCGGCGTATGCCTCGAGCTCCGGGAAGAACAGCGGGGAGCCAAGTGCGATGACCAGCACGTCAGTGCCGAGGCTGTGCAGCAGGTCGGCAGTGGACAGTACGAACTGCCACTCGTTGAACGAGTTTCCGTCCGACATCAGTATGAACAGCTTATGCGAGTCGGGCCTGTGGAAGTTCTGCATCTGCTTGATGCCCAGACGAACGGCTTCGGCGGTGAGCGTCGTCGAGCCGAGGAATTCGAGCGGCACAATTTTTCCGATCACCCATTCCTTGGTCTGGTTGATGTGAAAAGGAACCACGACGTGAGCGTGTTCGCTGTACTGCACGACGGATACCAACGCGGCATCAGGCCCGATGACTGGCAGCAAATGGATTATATGCAACAGCGTTGTTTTGTATATCTGGAAGTACTCCTCGATACTGCCAGAACTGTCGACGACTATGGTGACGTCGAGTTTGCAGAGATCTAAGGGAAAAATTTTTCATAGAAAGTCAATAAACTTCGGTCATGTGTCATACACATATATCAGGCTGCATGTTATGCGATCATTATGAAACAAGTTGTTATTCGTATAGCAATGCGGCGTGGAAAGACATAGGTTTGGAAAAACAGAAAGTGAAAGATGAGGAATGAATGAGAAAGGCTTCAAACCAGATTCCACAGCATCATTGCAAGAGCGAAAATATTGACACGGCAATATGCAGGACGCGTTACAGGAAGAACGGACTACTGCTGTGCTACAGGGATATTAGACTCGGTTCCGAAAGAACAAATGGCTTGTTCGACGAGCTTCATAATCGATGGCAGAATGAGCTGAGGAAATTTATGGAGCAAAGTTAATAAGAATCGCGCAGTACAAAATTTTAAGGAAAAATATTGGGCAGGGTTTCAGGCAGCAGTGGATCCAAATGAGCTGCTGTTTATGATGACGATAACGATGATGATTATGTGAATGATAACAACGATAATAATGATGCTGCTGATTATCGTAATGATGATAACCATGACAGTGACCACGACGATGAAAACCGCATTATCACTTAGCTACCTCATAATCAAATCGCAACATCGCCCAGTGGAGAGAGGAAACGACCAAAATACGGAATGATACGAACTAGTGAATTATGACGAGCATGTATTGTAGTGCTTAAAGTTGGGTTTATAACCAAACAGTGGCCAACAGTGAGGGTAACCGGACCATTCAGATTTTTAAACGCCTTTAAGGATACTGTAATTAATTAAAACGGGAAACTGTATGTTTGGCGGT